TTATGAAATATTCATTTGTACATGCATCTTTGTCTGTTCACTTATGAAGTATTCAGTTATGAAATATTCATTTGTACATGCATCCTTGCTTGTTCATTTGTACATGCATCTTTGCCAGTTCATTTATGAACTATTCATTCGTACATGCATCGTTGCTTGTTCACTTATGTAGTTAACCCATCTCTTTTGCCCATATCTGCCCATCTGCGAGGTCGTAAGATAAGAACACCCACGAAATGGCTCGTATCTCCATCAAATGGGTTTTGATCAAGTGTAATCACAGTTTGATTACACTTGAAAAGATATTTCCAACGAAACCGCTCCTCGAATCGACAAAATACTTTTCCCGGGCACGATTGCGAGAATAAGTGAAAGCTATAACTAAATATGGCACCGTGTGATATTTACCGAATTGCGTAAGAGTGTACTTGATGGCTTGTCGTTGACGCGCATTAGTTTTCTTAAACACCTGGCAACGATCTCGCTGTATCTGCGACGAACGTCGTTTGCTTCGTCATTCACTCCAAAATTCACCACCTTCTTCTTCCCTTAGTATCCAATCGATTCGACGATATATAAATCGCGCCACATAGCTTTATTTTCGCAATGAGTTTCGTTATCCTGCACAAGTGCGAATACACTCGAAAAGTAAAAGCGCGGATGTCCCTCCTATCCTTTTCTTCTTCGCCGTTTGCTTTCGACGATTTGCATTCGATACGAACACGCTTGGAAGCCAATCGATTCGGTACAAGTCGAGCAAAGTTTGTTGTTAAATAAAGACAGAGAACGTTTTAATTTGAACAACAGCCGACTAATAAATCAACGCGAAACAATTCAGGCCTCGAACAGCACTAAATTTATATCAATGCTGCCGAACGAAAAGATCCCCTTTCTTTTTCAACGAACGTTTCAATTAAATTAAAACTTCGCTTCCGAGCACAAGCTTCGCTTTCGAGTGTCCGCATTTTTGTTACGAACGCAGTATAATTATGGTAAGCGAGCGCCTGTTTCGTTTCTTGCTCGTACGAATACCGCCCGACATTTTTCGCTAACTTTCCTCGAAGCGACGAATTGATTTCGCTTTGTAGCGGTTGCAATGGCGTTGCTGGGGGTACACGAACCGAGGGAGTAACTTTGGGTAAACGGGACACTCTCAGATGAAATCGAACGTGACGGAGATAAAGGGAGCGGGGTTTTGAAGGGACTAATGGAAAATGTGCTAATACGCTTGCCGAACAATGTACAATAATTTGTATATAAGTCGAGCGACGTCGGGCAGACTGCCTTCAAACGACGAGAGATACTCCTTGATAGAATACTCTGTTGTATCTATACGATTCTGGGGCAGTTTTCGGCGAGCCTGTTCACTGGGCTTAGGGCCGGTGTTTAGTCTCGCGGGAAATGCCTCAGAACGTTTTACGAGTCCCGATCGTGCCCTTTTGCTTTCGATTTTCCACGTGGTTCCCGTTGTTTCGTAGTATCACGCCTCGTTTTTGGGGTTTCACGAACTTTTCCGAGCCGATTCTTTTCACGTTCGGTCGAGAGAGTTCCATTTTCCGTCGAACGGATTTTTTACACCGTGTCGGCGTCGTTGGTCGTTAAAAATGACATTTGAACAGTCCTCTGCTGCGAGCCGGATTTTTTAATCGTATCCCGTAGCGTATATGCGTCGTTGTCGTTGGTTTATTGTATGCGTACGCACGAGGGGTAACACCGTCGAGGTACGAGCTTCTTTACGTACGCAAATTGTTGCTTGCTTCATGTTGTACATTTTTTCGTACGTGTAAAAAGTAATATAAAGACTGTTTACGCTTTCCTTCTATTTTGTCAGTGGTACAAGGTATGTTGTACGTATTTGATGTATCATTTTTATACATATTTTTCAACGCTTTCGTGCAGTGAGAGCTTCACGTGTTTTACTCTTTTGTCGTAGCCGTTGTTGCTTGTTTAAAGCGCGGGGAAATTCTGGGTCGGCTCGGTTCGCCATTTTCTAATCCGTGGACGAAGAGAGTCGAAGTGAACGCAAAGGAATTTTTTGGAGATTCGTATGGTTTCACCATTTATTCGTAGATTAATCATATTAGGATTTTAATAATCGGATGAGAAGAAATTTGTGCAAGGAACTACGAAACGCACGCAGTACGCGATAATATAAAAAGATATCGCAGGCAAACTTCGTATTACAATATCTTCAGATTTACCGAATGAACGCCTCGACACCCGGATTGATATTCGAGAAAATTTCTGCCGCGATTAAATTTTGTTTACAGATTTTCGGAAACAGTACTTATTGTTGTAACTTCGTCGAAATTCAAAAATTAGATTCGAATTTGTTTTCTTCGACGCTTGATCTTTTGGAATCAATTATTTTTACTTCTTCAACGAATAGCGCCAATACGTGGATGACGTCGATAAGTTTTTAGTTAGTTGTTTCGGCGTTAGGGTAGATAACACAACCTCGAACTGATATACTTTTAGAAAACAGCCACTCGCATTTTCCAACTTTGCTAGTTTTTCGAATTCGGTGAAATCCTTTGGCAGATATATGTTCTCAAAGGGTCCTAACTTTAAGAAAATGCAAAAAAAAATTTGATACGCATCGCTAGGCCAGAGAATACCATCGCAATCTTCGTAAATAGGCGCTTGCATTTTCCTATTCGAGTTGGTAGATTCCAAGGCGAAATAACAATTCTTTAGTCGGTCGTTTTAGCGTTAGACGAAAGAACGGCATCGGTGAAAATCGACTCAACGCGAGAAAGTAGGAATTTTGATTTCCCTGTATCGTTAAAGGGTGATCTTGTTCGCGACTCGCTACGAATCGAAGTTTGATATTCGATAGGTCTCGATAACGATTTACAATACCGCTCGAAACCATCGACAGTTCGCAGATACTTGAACATTTCGAACAACACCCTGTACTCGTTCTCCATAGAGACGAAACAAAGTGGAACTCGAGATTCTTTTAAGCATCGAAACCGTTTCATTAGATCTCGTATTTCTGGGCAGGAATTTTGTTTCTGCGTTGTATAATTTGTACATAAACAATTAATTCTACAGTAAAGACTGGATAAAAGAAAGGTCCTGGAAAGAAATCGGGACCCAAACGTTGCAGTAGTTATCCAGTCGAGGTTTCCGTTCTGTGTTTAAATTTGGCTCGAGTCGAACGTAGGAAGGGACAAAGGGTGAAAGAGAAAAAGATTCGAGGAAAGAAAGCAGTCGTCGGAAGCGTATCAATCGATTAGGATCATGTTACAGTACTCGTCGAGTATCAAGGGAATAGCCATCTTGTACTTATCCAGTCTTTAGCCTTCTAAATCCATTTCGTACAAAGTTAAACTACGTTTCTTAAAACGGAAGCGAGTGTCCGGATGGTTTCGAACGGTATCTCGAGGCGTTCGAAGTTGTAGAGGGTGCACGTCCTGCGGTAGGTATGAGAGAGGATGAGAGACAGGATGATAGAGTATTAACAAAGGTAGATGGAGACGGAGTCTTTTTGTTTTGCCCGAACGAGAGCGATGACTCCGTTTGACCGGTTGTACCCGTCGCTTTTCCAGGTGATAGCTGTGATATCAATACTCTTTATTGTGCTTTCGACGATCGCACTAACTCTCAACACCATTCCTAGTATGCAAGTGAATGATGAGAAGGGGAACTTTCAAGACAATCCGCAGCTCGCTATGGTGGAGGCTGTGTGCATCACGTGGTTCACCCTCGAGTACATGCTTAGGTTCAGTGCCTCGCCGGACAAATGGAAGTTCTTCAAAGGCGGTCTAAACGTGATCGATCTGTTCGCGATACTGCCGTATTACGTGTCTCTGTTCCTGCTCGAGACGAACAAGAACGCTACCGACCAGTTCCAGGACGTGCGCAGGGTAGTGCAAATCTTTCGTATTATGCGAATCCTGAGGATCTTGAAGCTGGCTCGCCACTCTACCGGGCTCCAGAGCCTCGGCTTCACGCTACGTAATTCGTACAAGGAGCTGGGACTGCTGATGCTCTTCCTGGCGATGGGCGTCCTCATATTCTCGAGCCTCGCCTATTTCGCCGAGAAGGAGGAGCCCGGGACCAAATTCGTAAGCATTCCAGAAACCTTCTGGTGGGCGGGCATCACGATGACCACCGTCGGATACGGCGACATCTACCCCACGACCCCGCTCGGCAAGGTGATCGGCAGTGTGTGTTGTATATGTGGTGTCCTGGTAATCGCGTTGCCCATTCCCATTATCGTTAACAACTTCGCTGAGTTCTACAAGAATCAGATGAGACGGGAGAAGGCCCTAAAGAGGCGGGAGGCCCTAGAGAGGGCCAAAAGGGAGGGCAGCATCGTGTCCTTTCATCACATCAATCTGAGGGACGCCTTTGCCAAGAGCATGGACCTCATCGATGTCATCGTCGACACCGGTAAGCGACGGACCACGGGGACGGTACACGGATATTAAGGGTGCGCAGGTGCCAGAGCCAAACTTCGTGTTGACTTCAGCGACAGTTGCGGAAAAAGTAGGAAACTCCGGGACAGAGACAGAGAGGGCGATAGAACAATTGCAGGAGAGACGAAGACAGGGCGATTAGGCTAGCATGATTTTTTTCCAGGATATCGAAGCAAAGAAGCAATATTTTCTAATAATTCTGGTTTTAATATATTCGTTACACTTTGGCGGATGCGACTCCGAGGCCTGATTTTGCAATTTCGGCCTTAAAACTTTATAAACAATAAGAGTACGTTTTCTATCTTCATTTTACTGTATATAAAGTTTTAAGGCCGAAATTGCAAAATCAGGCCTCGGAGTCGCA